AACAGCCGACACAATGGGACCCATCCCGAAGGTGAGTCAAAGTGGTATAAATAAATAAATAAACAGATAGACGGTATAATTCGCGACATGTGAGACACAGGCAAAATACAAGACTGATCAATTGGTACGACATAGTTGGATAGTGGGGGGATAATTCAAGATATGTAATGTGCTCACTAAAGTGTTTGAGGGGCTAATGCATCTAAAAGTAGTAAAATATTGAATGTTGGGAGTGTGAATAAAGTTGGTTATGGCCGTCAGTTCAAGTAAAATTCATAGAATCGTCTCCCGGAGACCTGCTTTCAAAATTTAGTTACACATCTCATCTGACCATGTGCTGTTGTGGCTTAATGCAAGTAGCCAATGTGCTTTTGAACTCTATATTTTGGTTGTTGTCATATGCAATTTTGTTATAATCATTGTAACACATTATACATAAATATGTATAAATTCATTTGTGGGAGTTTGTAATATGTTAAGCTCTCGCCATCATACAGCCAGCATTAAGCCAATTCGGGTCTAACAATTTTACCATTCGTCAGTGAGTTTGTGACAACTCGCATTTCATGAGTGCACTGCAATTTTTGGAAGTACCTAACTATCACCTCGGGAGATCGGCACAGTCGTGGCCAACATTAGATAGAGAGAAATAAACAAAAAGAAAAGAATGAAGGAACAGTAATGTGAACAGGATGGGCTTTTGTTCATAGTTCTCCAATAAAGCTTGTGCAAGTTATCACTGGATATATAAACCCATTAGAGATGTACATGTTTTCAAAAGGAATTTTCCAAGGAAATAATTGAGATGGCTTCAATAGTTGCAGAAGAGAAATTTAGGCGACGGTTGTTGTGGCTTCAATTTATATAGCCGTTAGAGTTGTTTTAGGTACGCAAGATATTTTCTCCAGGAAGCGACAGAAATATGTATGTAGTGTAAAGCAAGTTTACTGCCGTACCAACAGGTTATCTCCGTTCATTAAGAGGTGGTTGATTTTGAAAGAGGTAAGCTTTCAGAGTGGTCGTAAACATCCATGATCCTAGTAGGTTTTTAGATAGTACCCTCAGATGAATCCAGTCAAAAACGGAGATAATATCTATGTTGTTTTCGCGGAGTTCGGAGAACTTCAGCTCGTGCCTAAGAGGTGGGCGCCAGAAAAGGTAGCAAATGATCAGTACTGTAGTAGGAATGTGAAACAATTCGTTAGAGAGGAATTTTAGTATATATTTCTGCTTTGATAACCGTAAACTTAATGGTAATCAGGACATCTTTCTTTAGAAAACAGCCTTTAACTACTGATATACATGGGGATGGTAGCAAGGTGTGACAACAACAGAAAAAGTACTATCGTTTTGAGGATAGACCCATCTTGCACCAATTTCGTACGGAGACTCATTTGTCATGGTAGGACGCAGTATACTAATCGCTGGTTTTACTTTTAGAAATGAACGTATAGCGCGTCGGCACTCTATCCCTGACTGGATTTCACGAACCTCAGATGGACGTCTGTCCAATAGAATGGAGTACGGGTTATTGAAAAAGGTTATCGTACAGTTTGTTCGTGATATTTTCACTTTTACTTTGTTGTTGGTATTGTTTCGATTACGACGTATTGAAAATTCTGCTCGCTGTACTGGTGAGTGTGGAGTGTATTTTTGGGTACTTGGATCAAAGAAGATAAAAGGATTACTTTTCTTTCTTCGCAGCCACAGTGGAGCAAGTTTAAGACAATGCAACCATCCATAGTAGAAAGGTTGGTGGAATAGCATAGTAGATTCTTAGCAACTGATCGTTGTACACGTTCTAATGTGTAGCGGTCTGGAGATCCCCGGATTGCCTGTGTAAAATTCTAACTAAAATTGTTTCATTGTACACTAGGCAACCGGTGTGGCTTGTTGAACTGATTGCTGAGTTGGAATGCTTGACTTGCTAATCGCCATTTTCGCTTGGCGCTCGTTTCTGTTGCAACGCGTGACTCCTCTGTGTGCAGTGTATCCTCCGTTCCCCCTAGCTGTAGCGTCAACGGTGTCGTATTTTATAGCTATGTAATAGGAAATCTTTTACTTTACTGATAAACCTTTCCCTGCAACTCGATCCGGATTTTCGAATCGCACTCCGAGTTCCCGGTAAAGGCTACTTGCTAAAAATGCTAAATGATCACGCACACTAGTTACAGTAGATGATGGAGCTATACTCAAGTAATGGACGTGTTTCTATTTTACACAGTGTTAATTGGTTCTTTCAAGTAGAATGTTTTGAACAGAAACCCAATTCTCCGAATAGCTTGAACTGCAGTATGTGCGGCGTATTTGGAAAAGTTAAGGGTGTTTGAGTATTGGATCCCAAGGTTAATAATAGTGTAGCAATGAGACAGTGGTTTATCATCAATCTTCTGCGAACCCAATATAATGTCACATCTGTAAGATAGTACGTGGCATTTGTCAGCAGAGAATGACATTAACAGTTTGGAGCTCCATGAATCGAGCACTCTTAACTCATGCTGGATTTCGCCTAGCATTACACTGACCTCAGTTGGATTATAAGTGTAAACGATTTTTATGTCATCGGCAAATAGGAACGGTTTTTCGGAGGAAAAGATGTAAAAATATCGTTTCCATACAGTAGGAATATAAAGCGTCCCATAATGCTACTCTGTATCATGCCAATTTTGACAGGATTTGGCTTTGAACATAGTGTAGTTGGTGAAATGGGCTGAAAGTTGAATTTGCGATCATCAGCTAACTCGGAAACGAGATACTGTGTTATCATGATCCGGTGCGACCTCTGGTGGAGTTGTGACAGCGGAGATAGCAAAATAGGTACTGTTTTCGTCCAGGATAATAAGTGGGGTTCACAGTTGAATGGTATCGCCATGAACAAATGCATAAGTGATTGTCCGCATTAGTCTAGATGACGCAGCGTTCCAAAATAGCAGAGAAATATTCTCATGTACACTGACTGCAAACCGATGACGTCCGTTGGTAGAGAGATAGTACTCAAGGGATCACGGCGCCCATAGCCAACGCGGATCATGATTCAAAAGTACAGTGAACATTTTGAGCACCTGCGCACGCGGGTCAAGCGTATATAGGGCGAGATAAGACTGATTCCAAGACAGCTTCCACGGAAAGTAACTTAGCCTGTCTAAGGATGAGGTTGTAGTGAAAAGCCGTTAACCATAACGTATTCCTACTTGCGCCAGAGTGGTCAGGGCGGTCAGCAGTGAGTCGCCACCGACCCCACAGTAACGATGGTGGAAGATCGCCTGAGGCAGCTGCCTCGTACCGCCGCAATTTTTAGCAACCTTGGCTTCAAAGAGTAGGACTCCAGAACGCAGCAAAAGCTTCATTCGGACACAAAACTTCCAGTTTGGCAGTAACCGAACTGTTTAGCCTCAGACACAACGAAGTAGAACATTGACACAAAGAAACAGTATAATCGTCAGAAATTTCAGCAGAAATACACACGTTTCACCGACCGCTAAAATGTGGGTGAGTGATATCATCCGCGAATAATAAGTAATACACGTCATTGGAAATGAGAAAACAATACACACACAATGAATCAGAGTGCGAAATCGATCGCTATGTGTATTTGAAATATATATGATAATTTGCCAATTCAGCGGCCCTTCGACCGAGGGCTTGTGCTTTAGCAAGTATCAACAATTCCGGTGATGTCTGACAAAGCCCTGACTGAGGTTGTTTGGCAGCAGCTGCCTGAGATTTTTGGTGGATGAGAGGGGGTGACATTCACAAGAAGGGTTGTACGGGCTGACCACATTACGTTCGGCATGAGTCAAATATCTGGACTTCCCCAATCTTCGAAATTCGGCCAAATTCGGTGACACCAACTGGGCGAATTCTTCTTCAATGTCAAAGAATATATCTCGGAGAGATTTGGTCATATTCGGTTCGTCAGAAGCGGGCTGCTTCATAGCGCGCATTCTGTAACTGGAACGCTGGGTAGCCCCGTGACGCCAGGACGTTTCGCACCGGGAGGCAGTCTCGTTCGGTTCTAGGAGTTTAGACAGCATCAGATAACTAGACATTTGGTTGTGACAAAGTTCGTTCCACACCTCCGGAATCGCCAGCGGCACTAAATTAAAGCCAATAAATAAGCAATGCATCAAACGACAGGGTGTGGGCAGGTGTTGGCTTGCGTCGATATAGTGCAAACTACTAACACTTACAGTCTTACATACATGAAATGAGGTGCTACATCGCCTTAAACTCGAGAAGAGGTCTTGGCGCTCAGTCGAGTTGAAGGTGACGGCGCTGCCGGAGCAGCACGTGCGATTAGCGCTAATTCACTTTTGCGTCCATACCAAGTTCCAGGTGGGCATTTACGATGATGTTCTGTGGTTTCCTTTGTGCCCATGGCGTTGCTAATGGGACGTGCGGTTTTAGGCTGCCGAGCAGGTTGCCGCGACTATACACTTGACAGTAGGAAAGCAGTACCTGTTTAGGAATAAGACAGAAATAAAATGCACCCGAGAAACCAGACTAACTTGGTTTCGTTATTCTGTACTTTGTTATTTCGTAGACTGAGATTGTCATGTAACAGCAGACCCCGTAAGAAACAAGCTTGATGAGCAGTGCGATTTCAACGCAATATTTGATAGTAAATAACTTAGTTGAAACGAAGGGAAATCACTCTCAGCTTGACCATAAATTAGATCAACAAAGTATGCTATTCTTGATGGTAATTGGAAGAGTTTAAAGAGTAGCTTGGTATAGAGAATCCTGAGATAAAGTACAGTAAAATGCATGCAGGTATTGGATGGCTGTTAAACGACAGAAAAAATAGGTGTACCGAAGATTATGAAAATAGAGAGGCTATCACTACTGGCAGGTGATGTGCGACAGCACCAAATTAGTGGAAAGTAACATCCCAGGCAGTTTGAATGCTGTATGATGAAGACGACAAAGCACATCACTGTTTGGGAGCTAAGCATAAGACCGGGGCAATCGAGTTATGTAATGGCCTATTTCGCCTCTGGATTTGGTAAACATTATTGTTTTCGACATACAGTTATTTGCGGAGTGACGGCTTCCAATGTAAGAGCTTAGAGCAGTTGGTAGACATTCACATTTAAAAAACTGAAACGCGTAATTGTCGAAAATTTGCCCAAGGTTCAAGTAGAAGCACGACTAACGGGTGCCGTCGCTTAAGTACGAAGCGCCGAAAAATTTATCCAAAACTGGGGCTTAAGAGGAGTCTACGTGAGAGACCACTGATGAGAAAGACAGACAGGTGATGTATTCTCGAAAAGAACAGTTTGGAGAGCAGTGTAGGGTTACATTGTCTCCAGACGCATCTAAACTTACCCATGATCCTAACCTCCAGCTTGCACTTCTGTTGAAGGGATCTGGTGCGAAAGGTAACTGATCGAGTATAAAAAATTTACCAGGCCGATAGCATTCTTCCACTGTTTCTGACGGATTAGTGTGACACGCTGGCTGCTAAGCTAGACGTTTTGTACAAAACTACCCTAAGGATGGTGTTTGTCAAGCAGTGTGTCCTCAGCGTTCCAAAAAGCAAAGAATATTGTTTTTGAACCAGCGATGGTGTCGCCTTCAAAAGTTCCATGACAGTATACTCAAGCAACTCAGTGGTTCCAGAAAAGTAGAGCTAGTAAAAAGTAATCCAGTTCCACACAGGAAAAGAACATGCTAAACATATACTTACACTGCATTGTTCTTAAAAGCAGAGTATTACACATTATTGAACTGCTATAGTTGTTTTGCTTGTATTGGACGCCTCTTTCGACTCAGGTGAATGCGCCAAACCGTAGCGTCAACGAATTCAGTGCAAGGTAAAAGAGAAAGCTATTTTGACACTGAAATCTCGTCTTCGTGATTGCCGGAACGTGTGAAATGTTTACTGGCAGTAGTATGGGTTCAACACAACAAGTGGCGTGCTTCGGATACAAACTAGGTGACCAGAATGGCTATAAATGCCAACCCTACAAGACAAGGAAGGAAACGACAGTGAAGACTGCAATATGTGAGAAGAGGCATGTTCAAGCAGTGATGCAAAAGAAGACACCTTGAAATCACAACACACGTTGGTTCGTATCACCACAAATCGGTTGTCTATCTAACTTCGAGTAAACAATGACAAAAAGCCCCAGACTTGGCTATTCGTTCTGTCATTCTCGCACATCTGTTTACTCAGAACAAAATACCGTTGTAGTTGTAACTGAGCACATGGGTGTAGCTCAGAAAGCACTAATCAGGAAAGGCAAATCACGGCCGTTTACTCCCAACGGATCCATCAGGAACCGAATCCATGACTACTAGCGTCCTGCACCTCTATCCATCAGCTACGGCCACCTAGATGTTTTGGCAGCTCATTATGACTCGCAAGCAAAGTGTCGCAAAATGCAAATTGTCCTTCGCCATCATAAAGGCTGGAGGATTGCAGACGAGAGTGCTGGGTCCCATGAAGTCAGGACGCCTCACAGTGACAGCTACGTATGAATAACCATTGTTTAATAGAAGATCCGGCGCGCGAAATTCCATATTCTCCACGGAGACGCATTTGAAAAGTGAATGATTTAAGCATCACTTCGTCCAACAGCAGAGGTTAGTAGTTTTGATCGCCCACAATAAGAAGCACACAAAGGATGGTTGAATAACATGTGGTAATGCTATGTAAAGCGCGTCCGTAAGAGCAGAGCTACGTAATCAAGACCCATCAATGTTTCACTGTGGAAGTGACATGAATAGAAACTTAATGGGAAGACAGAGTCGAGCATCCTGAAACAGATCTGTACACACAATAGAATATCATTATAGTGGTCCCAGTAACGCCAGAGTAGCACTCGGTACACCACAAATGGGCGCAAATGGTGGAACCAACCATAGGGGAGAAAGACATCAACTGTGCATCCGTAAACCGTACCGACGATTCGGTGCCACGCAATCAGCGTAGGTTGCAGCGGGCTGCGTATACCACAATGTTACCCGCATCTACACATAATCCAAAAGGTGGATAACAAAGTAGACACTTTATCCTTTCGGCAACTGGCCGATAAGGGTTAAAACAATGGCAGTGTAAGTCACTCAGGTGCCACTACCCTTCCCCTCTTCCCGCCAATCGCGCCCGATCCCTACACAGTCCTTGGTCGGTGGCGATTTAGCGATTTCCCGAAGTAACTTAAGCAGACCGAGCTGTGAGTGTTCGATTTTCAAAATACGCCTTTCTTGCGCGTTCCCCGCGCTGCGACCTCTTTCCATCAGCCTGATGTATACCATTAAGAGTAAAAGTACTGTGTTTCAGATAGGTCTAATGCTCCTGCAACGACACGACATATAATGTCACGATTTTGAAAAGAGTTATCGTAGTCAGACCCAGCCAGACAGCTACCATGCATTCAGGAAAGCATGAAAAAGTTCGCGGATTTCTGGTGGAAAATTTTAGCCGCGAAGGAACTTCTCAAAAGCCGAATAATGACCCCTACTATTCCTTAAGAGACATTTATATTTTAATCACAGGATGTTCTAAAGGCAATTCAGCGGAACCGAAAAGATAACTAAGGGAGCCAAAATACGTATATTGATTTCAATGCCTGGGCAGGCTGTTCGCGATCCACTCCACTATCCGGGGCATTTAGAACATCCGGTGAAAACAAATATAGGGTGATGAAGCTTGCTTGTTTTGCATTAACTGACCAGCTTACCGTTTACGGTATACTCACCATGGTAGTTTACAAAGGACAACTGGGAGAAAGATCTTTCGCATATATACATTGACGACGGAATGCGGTGAAATTTAGCATTAGATGAAGATATCATACGTGAGAAAGATGCTCCGTACTAAGTCGCTTCATCGGGCTCGCAGGAGTTTCCACCTTCGGTGAGGAAATGGTGACGGAGGATTTCATGCGTCTAGAGAACGCCAGCAAATGCTGATGTAACCGTCAATAAGCTGGAATCTGCTCGCAGTCAAGCTTGCCGACAGTGAGCATAAATTTAGACAAATCTATTCGAAAACAAAAGAGGGTAAATGGGTTTGGAAATAGAAACGACACTGCTAGAGAAATTGGCAGTCATGCTGCTGTCTCGCTGTTTACCTACATCTGCATACTAAGCAAGTCGCATGACGCAAAGCCCAGATTTCTTCTGCGCAGGTTTCTAGTTCGTATCGAGGGGATGCCCAATCAGGGCACCTTGGTTGTCGATGGGTTCAACTAGTTGGTTGGTTTAAAGTTAGCAAGAATCTCTGCGCCAACGCAGGAGTGATGTGGAAGCTCGTTCAGTAGACCTAACACAAAGAGTAAATATGATGTGGACAGATTGTGGCGAAAACAAAAGCCCACATGTTCGCCATGCTGACTTTGCGACCGTCAGACGAGATTCCGGTATTTGTATTCGGGAAACGCACTTATGCCACACGTGTGTGTGGGGGGGTGGGGGAACGACGTTGCTCTTTCGACTGCGCAGTACGCTCGCTAAGTAATATAATCAACTGTAAATATGCAAAGATAATTTTGCATTAAATTTCGATAACAGACTCCTCGGAAACTAGTTACCAACAAAACATTTAAACTCTAAATTAAACAAGCGTTTAAGTGGAGAAACCAAGAAGGCGAACTCCGCGGTACTCCGCGGTACAGAAATCGGTCTCCAACGCAAACAACCCTCAAACAGTGCGCAGAGTTTACAGTCGTTATATATACAAACAAAAAGGATGAGTTACGTTGGAAACATTATAGTGTTGCTCATCCCAACACTGACAACCCATGACCGCCCTTTCGTCCTGGTTGGGACTTATAAGGTGGCGATAGCCTGAGTTGGGCTGTAACTCAGAGCCTAGTGGCTCATGGTTGACGCTATAAGCACTATGCTACTGAGATCCGCGAGCAACGCTTGGTACATCGGAAATGAATTCAATTTTGGACTTCTTGAATCCGCTGTGTGGTTGGGTTGCTAAAAGCAACCTATATTGAGACCTCGGTTCACTTGAGGTGGACCTCAGTCATTCCACTCATAATGACCGGGAGCAAAATGGAAACAATACGGTGTTGCT